GATTCATCAAGAAGGAATACAACAGCTAATTAGTCCACACAGCAGCACAGAGGGCTCAGTTCAACTCACTTTCCTGGAGCAGTTAATATACTGGAAATCCTTCAAGTCACGTGGCTGCTGGGTCCAAGGTCAAGGAAGCAGACAGCAGAGTCTTCCTCAGGCAAGGCAGGCAGAGCCTGCCCCCAGGCAGCAGGCAGCAGGGTGGGCCAGCAACAGTCAGGAGCTTGGGAGTGTAGGGAAGCAGGACCCATGGGATCTGGGGCTGAAGCACGGCACAGGATCCATCAGCTCAAACGCAAGCGGTGTTCACACCAGCAGCGCGGCCAAGCAGGTCTCGAAGGAGCCTCAAGCTCTAGCAACAGGATCTATGGTTGGCTTGGCCCCCAGGTAGTGTAGCTCACAGGTTGAGGCAGAGAGTTAGCTAAAGCAGCAGCACACCGGTCCCATCACCAAGGAGCAAGAGGGAGATGGGATGCCAGCTGTCGTTATTTAAGTCGTCCTCCAATCCAGCCTCAACCTGAGTACACTCCGCCCACACGTTCCCATTGGCCTCTGGCACAATAACCCTAACTGTCACCGAGCCTGAGAAAATATCCTGTCCCGCACCCTACTTTCACCCACTCCTCTTAGCAGCCTTCAGTGCCTCTAGCCTATAACCGTTAGAACTGTGATGCTTGCCAAATGGCAGTGCCCATCATCTAAGAAGCCCTGGTGGCACTGTGGTTTATGCATTGGACTACTAATCACAAGGTCAGTGGTTCAAACCAACCATCCGCTCCTGGGGAAACGACGAGGCTTTCTACTCCCATAAGGATTGCAGTCTCAGAGGCCCGCAGGGACAGTTCTACCCTGCCCTGAAAAGTCGCTTTGGGTCAGAATTGACTCACCAGGGTGAGTGTGCGTTTTCCTGGATGACTGCTTCTACCTCTATCCATTGGGAGTTCACTGTACGGAGATCTGCCTCCCCCCTTTATTTTGCTTCATCCTCTAGTTATTGGCGCAGATCAGTACTGCTTCTTGCCCCCGTGTGC